TGTAGTGTGGTCATCCCCTTCGGGGGGTGATTTCTTGCTTTGCTTTCCATCTCTCTCTCTCTGTCCGGCAAGCGCACATGTCCAATAGCAAAAATCTTTCCAAGAAAAAAAAAGCAAGCAAGCATAAGAATCCTCTTTAAGGCCATCAGGTAGTGCAGAGATTAAGGAAGTTTTATCTCACATGGCCAACTGTATGGTTTGAGTCCTGGACTGGTTAGCTTGAAAAACATGGTGTATGTGTACATGCCCCAAATCCCCAAATCCCAAGAGGAAAAGGGATTACAGTGTAGCCATCCCCTTCCCCCGGGGTGGAGTGGGGGGAGTGGTGATTTCTCACTTGTTCTCTCTCTCCGGTTAAGCGTATGTGCCCCATAGCAAATTAAAACAAAACAAAACAAAATAAAACACACTCCTTTAATAAACTTTAAGTAGTCAGATGTAAACTGAATTTGTTACTTGATAATGTTCTAATGCATCTGAGAGTGTTGAGGCAATCTGACTTGATCTCTTTAAAAGGAATGTATGCCTCTAATATGCTAGAAACTAAAGGACCTACCAATGATTTGTTTCTTGGGCTGGGTTTTAAATAGCATTAAACATTGGTGGGACCAGCAGATGGTGTAATAGTTATGTTGTTAGACTTCCATGTATTTGACCACGGTTTGAGTCCTGTACCTGGGGGCTTAAACCTCACACCAGGCATGTGTGTGTGCATGTCCAAAATCCCAAGAGGAGAATGGAGGAGAGGGATTACTGAATGGTCATCCCCCCAGGGGGTGATTTCTTGCTTTCTGTCTGTCTCTCTGGTGAGCGCACATGCCCTATAGCAAAAATTTCTCTAAAATAAATAAATAAATAACAGTAAACAGTTGGCGAGGTAGTCTTTTTTTTTTTTTTTGTAATATTATTTTTGCCACAGGGCACATGCACTCATGAGACAGAGACAGAGAGACAGAGAGAGAGAGAGGGAAAGTGAGAAATTATCCCTTGGAGGGATGGCCACGCTGCAATCCCTTCTCCTCCATTCTCCTCTTGGGATTTTGGGCACACATGCACATGTGTCCAGTGTGTTTTTCAGGTCACCCCATCATGGACTCCAATCGCTGAATGGACCATATGGAATCCAGCACTTAACTTCCATGCCACCTGCTGGCCCTGGGGGGGTAGTCATTTTTATGTGGTTGAAATTAACTCTGTATATCAAAATTCTTGTCAGAAGCTACCAAAGAAACTCATACATCACTGCTGTTTATAAAAAATTATCATGGTTATCTTAATGACTCAATCCATTTGATAAGAGAACACTTCTGAGGCACTCTGGTAGCAAAACTGACTATTGTTATGAGCCATCAATGACTAGATAATTGTCTTCCTGTTTATTTCAATTTCCAGTGGAAAACAAGTAATGTATGTAGTAGTCTCTGGGAGCACTCATTTGATCAAATATTGCCAATGAACTATTTGGCTGGAGAGAGCCTCAGGAAATCTTGAAACAGCATACACATAAAGATGATCAGAGAAAATTAAAGATTGTCAAGATTCACTATATTTACTCATTTGTATTCCTTTCTCCTGTATTTTCTGTGGCTTCCTCCAAGCAGATCTCTGAATAAAACTCTCCTGATTTATGAAACACACACTCAAGCAGATTGCTTGTCATTGGCTGAGACAGGGCTGGGAAGAGCTTCTTTTCTCTTTCTCCCACTTCCTAAGTGTTTTTTTTTTTTTTTTTTTTTTTTTTTGTGGGGTTTTTGTTTTAGGGGGTGTCGAAAAAATTTGAGAGGTTTTTGCTATAGGGCGCTTGCGCTCACCAGACAGAGAGAGACAGAAAGCAAGAAATCATCCCCCAGGGGGGATGGTCACATCGCAATCCCCTCTCCTCCATTCTCCTCTCGGGATCTTGGGCATGCATGCACACACATCCAGCGTGAGTTTAAGCCACCGGGTCCGGGACTCAAACCGCGGTCGACTACGTGGGAGTCCATCCCAAGTGTTTTTATCCTCGCTTCCCTTCTGCCTCCTGTAGGGCTGCTGAGCCACACAGAGACCTCATTCCCACTACCCCAATCTTCCCATGTAATTCCAGACTTAACAAATAAAAATATAGGATGTTCAATTAAATGTGAATTTCAAATAGACATCAAATATTTTTTAGAATAAGTATGTCCCTGTAATATTTGGCACATACTTAAGCTAAACAAAATTTATTATTTACTTGAAATTCAAATTTAACTGAGAATCCTATATTTTAGCTGATAACCCTACTTCTTCCTTACAGGCTACCAGAGGCACCAGTAGCTGTCTGGTCCCTGTCACTGCTAATTCCATCTACTTAAGCTCTATCTTGATACAATGACCAAATCTAAATGCCACCATTCCATGACAGTATCACAGGGCTCTGTGCTTGTATACCTGTGGTCATTCCCACAGTGGCCCCCTGAGACATTTTTTACTCCATGAATTCTAATTGATAAAGGAAGGCAAAATACTAGATCTGGATCCCCTTAACTTTGTCTCTAATTGCACTGAAAATTTTGATTTTTAGCAAATGAAGATAAGACTCACAGTGACCAGAATTCAGGTGCCTACTTAATATATCCTTTGTTTCCATTTTTGCTTTAGAATGAAGCTATTAGGACAGAAGAGATCTAATGTGAGTACATACGTCACATGTTATAGAAAACTTAGGGCAGTTAAAGCAAGTGAGAAACTTGCTGGAGAATAAAGAAACAGCAATAATATTTAAGTGCAAACTTGAAGAGAAAAATTAATTTACTATGAAGAAGTAAGTATCTTAGATGAGGGAATACCAACAGAGTCCTGAGAGAAAAAAATTAAGGCTTCTCAAGATTTTTCTCTTTACTGGATCTGAGAGCAGCATGAGAAAAGACAGTATAAATTTAGGAGAATGCCAGAGGGAAGCACTAAATACTATAGAAATCTCTCTGTTAAAATTTTGCCAAGGGAACTAGCAGTTAGCATAATGGCTATGTCACTGGACTCCCACGTAGTCCACCGCGGTTTGCATCCCGGACCCGGTGGCTTAAAACTCACGCCGGGCGCGTGTGCATGCGTGCCCAAGATCCTGAGAGGAGAATGGAGGAGAAGGGATTGCGGCGTGGCCATCCCCCCTGGGGGGTGATTTCTCGCTTTCTGTCTCTATGTCTCTCTCTGTCTGTTTGGCCAGCGCACGCGCCCTATAGCAAAAACCTCTCAAAAAAAAAAAAAATTTTTTTTGCCAGTGCAAATGTTCAACAGAGGGGGTAGTGGAAAAAGAGAGTGCGCCTCCCAGTGGGGTGTGGTCATACTGCAATCCCTTATCCATTTCTCTATCCTGTCGGGATTCGGGAAAGCACAAACATATGCCCAGCATGTTTAACAAGCCCCTTGATTTGGGATTCAAATTGCATGGTTGGCCCCTATGGGATCCAGCTGTCTTAAACACCAGGTCATGAAATGGCCCCAATTTTTTTTTTAATGTTGTTAAGAGTACTCGTGCACTCACCAGAGAAAAAGAGACAGAAAAAGCATTAGCCAATGCGGTCTGGTCATGTCACAGCCTACCCCCCCCTTCTTTTTAAAGAATTATTTATTTAATTTTATTTGCTGTTATTATTTATCTTTTTAATTTGACCACACAGATATAGGGTGAGAGAGGGAGAAAGGGAAAGTGAGAAAGCAAGTTGCCAGGTCCAGGACTCAAATTGCAGTTGGTCATGTGGGAGTCCAGCACCCTAACTACCACACCACCTGCCGGTCCCAATGTCACAACCTTTTTCCTCCATTTCTCTATCCTGCTAGGACCCTGGACATGAATAAACATGCACTCAGTGTATTTTTCAAGCTGCCAGGGCCAGGATTTGAACCACAGTCCACCATGTAGGATCCAGCTCTTATGTACTACAGCACCAGCTCTTGCTTGCTCTTGAGTATTAAATTACACAATGTATATGGGTAAGGAAAGAATTGTCATAGAGAAATACAGGTACAATTATTTTCAGCTGAAATCAGGGGCCAGCGAGCTATAAACCGGCTAATGAGCAGGTAAAACAGAAAGGTAAGTACTACTGGGTGATCAGGAAAGTCATGATGCATTTTTGCATAGAAAAGTACATCATGACTTTCCTGACAATCTAATAAAAAAACTTTGTTAAACTAAGTCAAACCTGATTAAATGAAAAAAAAAAATCTATATACTTTCAAAGCCATTATACTGCCACCAGTAGGTGGCATGGTGGTTAAGGTACTGGACTCCCACATGGCCAACTGTGGTTCAAGTCCCAGACCCGGTGGCTTGAAAATCATGCTGGGCACATGTGCATGCATGCCTCAAATCCCCAGGAGAATGGAGGAAAAGGGACTGTGGCATGACCATCCCCCCTGAGGAATGATTTTTCACTTTCCCTCTCATTGTCTCTGGTGAGTACACACATCTTATTGGCCAAAACTAAAAAAAAAAAAAACAGCCTTCACACTGAGTGATGAAATTAATAATGTTTACAAAAAGGTGAACCAATTGAGAAAAGGGATTATAAAATGAAGAAACCATCACTCTAAAGAGAAGTGACTGTACCCTCTCTTCCAAACCAAATCCTTAAATAAAATTAACTCGGAGTTGCTAGAAAGTCTGTTGATTTTCTGGCAGTTTATCACAGGGGATCATACATGATTCTGTATGGGTGGGAGATAACATACAGAAAATAAGATCATGTCAGAAGCCAAAGGCTTCTCAGCCTTTTGGCTCAGATCACGTGTAGAGAGGGACAATATATTTAGAAACAAAACTAGTGTGCCAGACAGATTGGTTTTGCTGTTGGTGGGCCTGAGCTGAAGTCAGGAGTAGCAAAACAGGCAGCAGAAGTTCTACGAGCCTCCCAAGCTAAGTGGACTGGCTGGCCCAGTAGGAGAAAGGCAGGCTTCTCTCTGCAGTGAGCTACCTAACTTTGGATAAGCCTCTGAAAACAAATGTTAGGGGAAATAACGACACTGGGTATAAAAAAGATATTATATCTCATTTAATTGAAATATCAATTTGTTGATATACAAACCAAATGGACCAAACAGTGTTACAGAACTCTCTTTATCTTCAGGGCAGAGAAAATGCTCTAAACAAGCATCACCTTCAGAGCTCTGATGCCAACCAGGAAGGTATCCAAACCCGATTCAGCATGAAGGCAAGAGTCTTATGTCTTCCGGTGGAGGCAAAGCCATTTGGTTGGCACTTCATAGGAATATCTTTCCACCAGGTCTTCATCATACGGTATGTGCCACGAGTCCCCAGTCGTTTGCACCACAGTGTCATAGCTGAGAATGTGCTGTTGAAGTAAAGAGAGCCAAACGCTGAGAATACCATCAAGGATTTACCTAACCATTTCTCTTTCTTCCCTGACAACGTCTCAGTTTCCTTCAAAGGAGTATTCCATGTCTTATTGACCAGTGGATTTGAAAGAGCAGCTAACTCTATGAAAATGAATCTCAGCATTCTAAATTGCTTTTTTTCTGGGGGGCAGGGGTTCCTTTTAAGGTTAAAGACTCTCTATAGGAACATCACATTTATAGGACACAGAATCCTTCATTGCCTCATTGGTGTTGTGTGTGAGAAAGAAAATTTCCAAATATTTAAAAGCAGGAAAATAGAATAATGAACTCCCATGTACCCACTACCCAGCTTCAATCATTACCAACTTGTGGTTAATCTTATTTCATCCATACCCTATGCACTTTCTTGCCCCATCTCCCTACCCAGATTATCTTGAGGCAAAATTCAGAGATATTGTTTCTTATATATTATTTCAGATATATTGTTTCTTTCTTAAGATATAATGTTGCAGTGGGTATCGCTAAAAGACAAGAACTTATTTTATAAACATAAGCTCAATATAATTTTATTTATTTATTTATTTGGAAAGGTTTTTGCTATAAGGTGCGTGTGCTTGCCAGACAGACAGAGAGACAGAGAGATAGAAAGCAAGAAATCATCCCCAAGGGGGATGGTCACACCGCAATCCCTTCTCCTCCATTCTCCTCTTGGAATCTTGGGTACGCATGCACATGCGCCCGGCGTTGAGTTTAAGCCACCGGGTCCGGGACACGAACCGTGTTGACTACATGGGAGTCCAGAGACATAGCCATTATGCTAACTGCCGGTCCCAATATAATTTTATTTAAAAATAAATAATTCCTTAACATCATCAAATTTCTACTGCCAACATCTCCCTAGTTATTTTGTATATATATACCTATGTTTTACAGCTTGTTTGAATAGGAACTGAAATAAAGTTACTACATTATGACAAGTTAACATATCTCTTAACTCTCTATTTTTAATTCCTAGAGGGTGCACGTGTGCACTCACCAGAGTGTGACAGAGAGACAGAGAGAGAGGAAGGGAGAGAGTACTCCTCGATGGGGCAGGGTCACACCACAATTCCTTTTCCTATATTTCTGCATCCTTTTGGGACTTTGGGCATGCACACACATAAGCTCAGTGTGCTTTTCAAGCCACTGGGGCCAGGACCTGAACCAAGGTTAGCCATATGGGATTTCTCCTAACTGCTAGGCTACAGGGCTGACCCTTTCTCTCTCTCTCTCTCTCTCTTTCTTTTTTCAGGCAAACAAAGAGAGAGAGGGTCTCTCAAAAGGGTCTTCACCCAGCCAGGACCACAGGAATACCTGATGCCTGCCTGGCATGCAAAGGAAGACCTTAGGACATAAACCTGGTATCTCCCCATATGGTCTTAGTATTGCAGAGCACTGTGTTACTGTCACACCACCACAGCTGGCTGTAATTCTCTTTGAATCTTAGGCTTCCCTTTCCATCTATTTTTCTTTTTAAATAATTATTTCATTTAACTTTATTTATTATTACTTTCCAGTTTGATCAGAGAGAGACAGAGAAAGTGAGAAAGCAAGCCACCAGGTCTGAGACGTGAACCATGGTCAGCCATGTGGGAGTCCAGAGCCCTTACCACCTGCCGATAGTTCCATCTATAAGTCTTGCAATTTCTTGTTCCTCTTAAAGAAACAAGGTCAATTATCCTGTATCATTTCCCAGGTTAGTACTAATTTTGTTAATGAAAGTCCTGTGGTATCACTTCATACTATATTTATATTTCCTATCTGCTTTCATTTATTTATTTATTTTTATATTTTTAGTTTATTTTAAAAATTAACAAAAAGAATTAGGGTTGGCTGGTAGTGCAGTGATTATGATTCCACATAGCTGACCACGGTTCAAGTACGGCCCTAGCAGGTTAAAAACCATGCTGAGGGTGTGTGTGTGTATGCCCAATGTCTGATGGGATGGTGAAATAGAAGAAAAAAGGATTATGGCATGACCACATCTCATGGGGTGGAGGGGAGGTGTTTTATCTCTCCTTCTCTGGTGGCAATTCTAAAAAAAAAAATTCACAGGTGCCAGCAGGTGGCATATTGGTTAAGGCACTAGAATCCCACATTGTCAATCACAGTTCAAGTCCCAGACCCAGTGGCTGGGAACTCATGCTGGGGGTGTGTGCATGCATGCCCAAAATCCTGAGAGGAGAATGGAGAAGGGATTGTGGTATGGCCATGGCTCCTGGCAGGGGATGTCTTGCTTTCTGTCTCTTTTGTCTCTCTGTCTCTCTGGTGAGCACACATGCCCTTATAACAAAAACCTCTAAAAAAATTTACCATATACACATGATGTTTTGAAACATATATTGTGGAATGGCTAAATCAAGCTAACTAACGTATGTGTTACTTCACATATCATTTTTGTAGTGAAGATACTTAAAACCTACTCTTCGCAATTTTCAAATATAATACATGGCAATTAATTATAGTCATCATGTTGTACAATAGTTCTCTTAAACTTATTCCTCCTATCTAACTATATTTTTGACCAATAGCTTTCCCTAATGCCCCTCCCCCCAATATATTTTTGACCAGGACCATATTTTACCATAGGCTAGGTTTTCTGCAATCACTTTCAGATTCCCTCCCTTTGTTTTCATACAGAGGCATCCTTGTATTAGAGGTATCTAAACTAGAATCAAAAGAGAACTCAATTGAGACTGTGCTGAGCAGTGGCTTAAACAAGAAGAAATGAATTACTTAGTGTAAGTATGGCAAATTATAAAGGATAACAAACTTTGAGCTACTGCAAATAAAAATGAAAATAAAAGACATTTGAGAAGTTATAGTTCTGATATAATTGAAATCACAATTGATGATACTCTGTATGATTTCAATATGTCAATGAATTTGGGGTTGGCCTATGAAAGTTTTCCTGTGGCAGACTTTCTAGGAACTGGCTAATTATAAATACCAAATCAAAAGCATTGAGAACCTTCAGCTAGTTGCAATATTCTTTTATTAAGCCTCATTCTTACCATACACTTGACTGTGAACATTACATAGAGGAGAGATACAATACCTGAAAGACTATTTTTGATCCTAGAAACCTATTCATAATTGCCAGCTGGTGTCCTTGTTGCCACTTAAAGAATAGGCGCTGGGTCTTGGCATCAGGTAGGCAGGCCTTGTGGTCCCGCATCAGATCTTTTGTGATAAACTTGCAGTGATTTCCCGAGTGCAGTGTGGCATAGAGAAGGAATGGATCGTCCTCTGAGCTGAACCAGGCATAAGAAAGGACACAGTCAAGCATACTGAGGGTAGCATTTTCACTATACTCTTTACTTATTTTCCCACTTTCCTTAGTAGTGCCTCTGCATTATTTTAATTTATTATTATTTAAAAATATTTAATTTTATTTATAGAATTATTTATTTATTTAGTTAGTTAGTTCTTTTCTTGGAGAGGTTTTTGCTATAGGGCGTCTGTGCTTGCCAGACAGAGACAGAGAGACAGAAAGTGAGAAATCCCCCCTCGGGGGGATGGCCACGCCGCAATCCCTTCTCCTCCATTCTCCTCTTGGGATCTTGGGCACGCATGCACACGCGCCCAGCGTGAGTTTAAGCCACCGGGTCTGGGACTTGAACTGCAGTCGACTACATGGGAGTCTAGTAACATAGCCATTACGCCAACTGCTGGTCCCTATTTTTATTATTTTTTAATTTGACCAGAGAGAGAAAGACAGAGAGAGAGAGAAAGTGAGAATGCAAGTCGCCAGGTCTGGGACCTGAACCATGGTTGGCCGTGTGGGAGTCTAGCACCCAACCACCACGCCATCTGCTGGCCTCGTGCCTTTGCATTCTTAACTGATATGGTCTCACTGATACTTATGAACCACCTCGAAGTCCCTGTCTTGGAGGTAATCCTACTAGAACATTGATGGACAGCTGAGGAGAAAGGAATGCTACTGCTTGGAACTCCAACAGCTCACTGCACTTTCCTGTTAGAATGAAGAATTCTAACAATTCTCTATTTAAAAGTTGATTTTAGCCCAGCTGCAGTGGCACAAGTGGTAGGGCACTGAAGTTCAAGGCTGGGGCCACATGAGAGGCTGGGGTTTGGGTCATGGACCAACCTCAACAGGCCAGGCACAGTGGCTTGTGTACCTAATCCTTGCTAACTGGGAGGCTGAGAGAGCACCATTACAATGGAGAGATCCAGTAAAAAATACCTCTCTCTTTCTCCCTCCTTCTCTTCCTTACCCCATTTTGCTCTCACTAATCAAACAAATAAAAAAAAAGCATGTTATGCATGTTATGTAACATGTAACTACATGTTAAAAGTTTCCATGTACTGTTGATCTGCTCCTGATTAGCTGCTTGTTTCTTACTTCTTATACTACATTTTATTACTGACTCTGTTTTCCAAGCTTGTTTGGCTTCCTGGGAAATTGCAGCTTAAGAGCAATTTTCTCTTCATATTTAGAATAAAATCCAGGCCCTTCCATGACTATCGAGACCCATGAACATGTCTGTAATGTAGTCCCTTTCTTCTCCCTGGCCTCAAAACCCTTCTACACTGGCCCTCTCATGTTCGGCTTTGCTCAAATATGCCAAGTTTATTCCTACCTCAGAGTTTTTTGAACACCTGCTGTTTCTACTATCTGGGATATTCTTCCCAGGAGCCTTTTCTTTTCCTCAAATTACTCCTTTCTACCAGAAAAGCCTTTCCTGATGATCATCTCAACCACTGCCCTCTGACTTATCTGCTCTCTACCTAGTCCCTTTCTATCTAATTTGCTTTACTGTCCTTATACAAGGGGACTTCAAAAAGTTTGTGGAAAAATAGAATTAAAGTACAAGTTGATTTCAGAACAACAACAACAAAAAACAATTGAAATTCATGTGTAGGTTTTTTTTTTCATAATATGCATTGTCTGTGAACTTTCTGAAGACCTCCTAAGAACACTAATCACTGCCTGCAATGACATTACCTGTTTACCTATTTATTCTAAGTCCTATGAGAGAAGGAACTCACTGCTATTTCTCCAAGAATATAGAAGGAGCTCATATTTGTTAAGTAGTTGCTAATTAAGGATCCTGTGGCAGGTAGTCTGTATATTACTCACTCCTGATTTATCTTCCTTCCATTTCTCCTGTATCCTAGTTTTCTCATTTAAGTTTTTTTTTTTTTTTTAGAGGTTTTTGCTATAGGGCACGTGTGCTCGCCAGAAAGACAGAGAGAGACAGAGAGACAGAAAGCGAGAAATCACCCCCCAGGCACACGCGCCCAGCATGAGTTTAAGTCACCAGGTCCGGGACTCGAACCTCAGTTGACTACATGGGAGTCCAGCAACATAGCCATTACACTAACTGCTGATCCTATCTCATTTAAATTTATACTGCAGAAGAAATTGTGTTTTCGTAAACTCTTTTTTAAATGTTTTATTTGGAATGAGGTTATATACTCATGAATTTTTATTTATTTATTTAGGGGGAGAGATTTTTTTGCTGTAGGGCACTTGTGCTTGCCAGAGAGAGACAGAAAGCAAGAAATCTCCTCAGGGGGATTGCCACATGGCAATCCTTTCTCCTCCATTCTCATCTTGGGATTTTGGGCATGCACACATAAGTACCTGGAGTGAATTTCAAGCTGCCAGGTCTGAGACTCTAACCATGATCATATGCATGAGAGTCCAGTACCTTAACCACCTTGCCACCTGCTGGTCCCTAGACAAGCATTTTTAAAATGGTGAAAATGAGTAACTAGGAGATGATGGAAGCCTAGTGTAATTCACTTATTACCTCCAATACTTACATGTCGTCAGCAAAAAAACAGCTGGCTTGCTTTTGAATCTTTTCCATCTCATTCTTTCTCCACCGAGATCGCTGCGTTAACATGTGCTTCCGGCCCAGGACCAGCAGTCGCAGATTCTGCTTTGCTAATTGAGAGACTACATTCGAGAGCTAAAAAACACAAGCCAGCACCCCAAAGTGACAAAGGATGAAGCTGGATTGTTGATTCCCGCGTACCCGCTCTATGGTGAAGCACTCTTTTCTGGCATAGGTTAAGAAAATAGTCCTTAATAGTTTTTCATCATTGAAAGCATAGGAAAAATGCTTCTCTATTAAAAAACTAAAGTCTAACATCTGTCCTCTGGTCAAGTTACATTGGATCCAGGAGGGTTTTCTAAGCTTAGATTGGCTCATTTGTTTTTAAACTATGCTCTGTTTTATCCCAGAACACAGCCAACTGGGAGGCTCTAAAGGGATGGGGTTTTGTTCCTATATACACCTAACCCTGTTTTAACCAAAACAGCTCAACTTTTGTATATTTATATGCTGCATTCTATATAAGTTTTCATATGAATACTGAGTTCTTTTTTTACAAGTTTGTAAATGGCTGGACTAGATAGTGAGGTTGCAGACTTTTTTAAAAAAAGGATTATTTTATTTGACTTTATCCATTTATTTATTAATTTTATTTGACCAGAGAGGGACAGAGTGAGAGAGAGAGAGAGAGAGAGAGAGAAAGAGAGAGAGGAAGTGAGAAAGCATGCCGCCAAGTCCAGGACTCGAACTGTGGTTGGTCATGTGGGAGTCCTGTGCCCTTAACGACCCTACCACCTGCTGGCCCTCATTGCAGACTTTCTTATGTCTTGATTCTACTGCTAAGACTACTACCTTAAATTGAAATCCTCCTTTACTCCCAAAGGTCTATCAGTTTTCATCCTCTAGCCTACTGTGACATTGTGAAATAAATGTCAGTGGTCTCCCGCCTGTTTCTGGGAATACAACTCTTAAAACCCCTGAAATCTCCAAAGTGGTGTCTTTCTTTCTTTTTTTTTTTTTTTTTGAGAGGTTTTTGCTATAGGGCGTGTGTGCTCACCAGAAAGAGACAGAGAGACAGAGACTGAGAATCCCTTCCCAGGGGGGATGGCCACACCACAACCCCTTCTCCTCCTTTCTCCTCTCGGGACCTTGGGCACACAAGCACACATGCCTGGTGTGAGTTTAAGCCACCGGGTCCAGGATGTGAACCACGGTCGACTATGTGGGAGTCCAGCGACACAGCCATTATGCTAACTGTTGGTCCCTCTTTTTATATCTTAAAGAGTTGACATATATAGCTTGCCTCCATGAGGTAGCATCAGGATGGGAGCAGGTACCTGGAAAGATCAAGGCAGGATTGCCATGCAACTTCCAGGGAAAGGTGAGGGGCTGAAGGTTAAGTTGATTACCAATGGCCAATGATTTAATCAATTACACATATATAATGAAGCTTCTATAAACCCCAAAAAAGACTAGATTCTGGGAGCTTCTGGACAGCCAAAAATGTGGAGGTTCCTGGAGGGTGGTGCACCCAGAAAGGGCATGGAAGAGCCATGCCCTTTCCCACATTCCTTTCCCTATGGCTCTCTCCATCTGTTCCCTTTGTAATATTCTTTATAATAAACCAGTACACATAAGCAAGAGATTCTCTGACTTCTGTGAGGTGCTCTACCAAATTAATTAAGCGTAAGGAAGGAATTGTGGGAATCTCGATTTGTGGCTGATTGTTTAGAAGATCTAGAGGCCTGGTCTTACAAATGGCATCTGAAGTGCAGGCAATTTTGGAAACTAAGCCTTCAACTTAATGCTATTTCCAGCTGGTGGCATGGTGGTTGTGGCGATTGGCTCCTACATGGCAGACTGCAGTTGCATCCTGAACCTGGCGGCTTGAAAACCATGCTGTGGCATGTGCAAACAAATCCAAAATCCTGGGAAGAGAGTGAAGGATGAAGAGATTGTGGTGGGGTCAGCCCTCCTGTGGGTGATTTCTCACTTTCCTTTTTTCTATCTTTCTTTGGTGAGTGCACACCCTTGAAAATCACATCAGGCACATGTGTGTGCTCAAAATCCCGAAAGAAGATGGGAGGAAAAGGACTTGTAGTATTGCCATCCCTCTTAGGGGGGTAATTTCTCATTTTCCCTCTCTCTGTCTCTCTCTGGAGCGTGCATGTGCAAAAACTATTAGGTCATCAGGAAAGTCATGATGTATTTTTCTATGCAAAAATATGGTTCATAATAGAAGAAAAAGATAAACTGCACTTCATCAAAACTGTAATTCATCAAAATTAAAGTCATTTTCTCTGTAAAAGACTCTCTTAAAAGGGTGAAAAGATAGGGGTCGGCAAGTGGCATGGTGGTTAAGGTGCTGGACTACCACATGGTTGACTGCAGTTCAAGTCTTGGGCCTGGCGGTTTGCTTTCTTGCTCTCCCTCTCTCTCTCTATCTTTCTGTGGTCAAATTGAAGAATAATAATAAATAAAATTTAAATAAATATTATTTTTTAAAAAAGGGTGAAAAGTCAAGTTATAAACTAGGAGAAAATATTTACAAACCACATATTTAACAAAGAACTAGTAGTTAGAACATATAAAGAACAATCAAAATTAAACAGCTAAAAAAAAAGGAAACAGTCCAACCAGAACATGAGCAAATGCCTTTCACTGAAGAAGATATGCAGATAATAAATAAGTAAATGAAACCTTTAACTATCAGGCAAATGCAAATAATAATTTAACGAGATATCATTACATGCCTATCGGAATGGCTAAAATAAAATACAGTTGATTTCACCAAACAAGGGTAATGATGTGAAGAAACTGAATCACTCATACATTGTTGGTGGAAATTTAAAATGGTATAGCCACTGGAAAACAGTTAAGTAGTTACTTATAAAACAAAACATGCAACTATCATACAAATGAATTATTGTACTGCTGAGCATTTATCCCAGAAAGATAAAGACTTAGGTTCACACAAAAATCCATACAAAATATTTACAGCACACTGATCTGTAATAGCCAATCCAGATGGCCTTCAGTGGGGTGAATGGTTAAACCAACTTTGGTGCCATAGTCTCCTTATTCACAGTGGATCATTCCAAGACTCCCACTGATGCCTAAGATTGTGGATAGTACTAAACTCTCTATATATTATGTTTTCCCCCTATACATATACACACCTATGATAAAGCCTAATTTACAAATTAGCAACGAGATTTAAAAAAAACAATAAAAGGACAATTATAACAATGATATAAAATTTATATAAAGCTGGTCTTGCTATCTCTCTCAAAATATCTTATTGTATTGAATTGTACTCATCTAGTCCTGGACTGTGGTTGATCACAGGTAACTGCAACTGTGGTAAGCCGGAACTACTGTATATCGAACCATGGAATACTAAACAATAAAAAAGGAACAAAACTTGATATCATAAAATCCTGGATTAATCTCTAGAGAATTATGCTGAGTGAATAAAAGCTAAACACAAAAGGTTTATACTGGGGCCAGCCAGATGGCATGGTGATTAAGGCGGCTGGATCCCACCTGACTGATTGCATGGTTTGAGTTTTAGACCTGGTAGCTTGAAAAAGACCCCAGGTAGTGGGACACAGAAATGGTCTATTACCTGTTGATGATAACATGTATAGTATTCTCAATTGGACTGGTCTGAGGAATATTTCATGTTGGGTAAATTTTTTTACAAGCCAAAGGATATGTAGTGATTGAAAGTTAAAAAAAATAACAATAATCGGAAAAAAAATGATGAAAAGCTATTTGATGATGATAACGTGGATAGTAATGTCTTTGTCATGACAGATATGTAAAATGTTTCTGCTGGAAAAAGAAATGTAATACACTGTAAAGATACATGTGATTCAATGTAATATAAAAAAGATTATGATCAGAGAAAAAGACGCCAGGCACGTGCATGAAAACGCCCCAGATCCTCAGAGGAAAATGGAAAAGAAGGGACTACAGCATGGACATCTCCACTGAGGGATGGTTTCTCAATTTCTTTCTCTCTCTCTCTGTCTCTCTCTCTCTGTCTCTCTCTCTGGCGAGCACACGTGCCCTATAGCAAATTTTAAATGAAAAAAAAAAAGATGATAAACTGTATGATTCCATTTATATAAATTCCTGAAATGAGAAAATTACACTTATTTTTTTCTTCCATGAGCTAGACGGACAGAGAGCTAGCACTCCTAATGCATCTTGCATCCATGAACTATCCCCAGTTTCAGTCAGCCCAGATCATGAGCATGCATGTGTCTGATTCAGGGAGGTCGCTGGATGCAAACCTGGGATCTTTCCATGTGGGTCAATCTGACAGAGCGTTGCATTTTACTGCTGTGCCACTCTCTGGCCACGGAAAATTATGAAAATGGAGAATAGATTAGTGGTGATGAAGAACTAAGGAGAGGGTAGGGAGGGAAATGAACGAGGCTGTAAAAGAGCAACATGAGAGATCCTTGTGGTGGTGAACTTGTTCTATATCTTGACTATGTCAATATTAGTATCCAGGTTATGATATAACATAGTTTGGAGCAAGATGTTACTATCAGGAGAAACTAGGTAAAAGGTACATTATATCTCTCTGTACTATTTCTTAGAACTGCATACAAATCTGTAATTATCTCAAAATAAAAAGTAAACAAACAAAACCCAAACACCCTACAAACCAAAAACACCAACTTTAGGCCTTCTTTGAAAAATTAAAGGGCAGGGTGACAGATACCTGACGCACATAGGCTGATCAATGCATATAGCATGGTCATCCCAAAAGGCAATCCTCCCCTTGAGACTAATAAACAGGGGACTAGGTTTAGAAAACAGAGATGAAGGAATGAGCACAAGGCAGTGGGGACTAGAGAAGCTGAGATCCACCTTAGACTGCTCTCAACCTAGAGAACCCAGAAATGTTGGGGAAAGTTCTGGGTTTGCCTAAGGAGTCTAGAATCTGGACCACATAGTAGAGCAGAATTAACAGCATACAGTTCACTGTAAACCATATCTAATATTTCACAGTGATTCCAGAACTGAGACTTCCTGTGTACCCAGTACTTTATGATTAATTTGGCATATCACTCCCCCACCCTTTTCCATAAGACATCACTGTCCGCCTTAGTCCATAC